CTGATGCCTAAGAGAACACACCTGAGCCAAGATTGAAAGCATACCCTGATGTACTTTTCATGTCATCTATACTCCCAGCCCAGTCACTGTCACAATATCCAATAAGAACTGCTGACTTTCCTTTTACATATTCAATGCCAAAATCCATAGTACCTTGAATGTATCTCAGTACCCTTCTTGCTGTTCCCATATGTTTCTTAGTTGGACCATGCATGAATCTTGCCAAGAGACTAGTACCAAACATTATATCTGGTCTAGTGGCAGTAAGATACAGAAGACTTCCCACCAATTTCCTGTATTCAGACTCATCTGCAGCTTCACTCCCATCATTCTTGCATAACCTTTCATTTGCTGCCAGTGGTGTTATCACAGACTTACAACCTTGTAGTCCAAATTTCTCCAGCAGTTTCATTGCATATTTCTTCTGATGTATGAAGATGCTTTTCTTGGTTTGAATAATTCCCATACCAAGAAAATGATGTAGCAATCCCAAATCAGTCATTTCATAATGCTGCATCATGTCGTTTTTAAATCTGTCAAGCATTGTGTCACTGCTTCCAGTGTACACAATATCATCAACATAGACAGAAACTATGAGAATCCCTGACTTTTCAACCTTAGTATATAAGGTGGCTTCATTAGGACTTCTTTTAAAACTTGCCTTGGTGAAGTAAGAATCAATTTCATCATACCAAGCTCTTGGAGCTTGTTTAAGGCCATATAATGCCTTACTCAACTTATACACTTTATCCTCCTTGCCTTGTATGACAAATCCTTGAGGCTGATCAACATAAACTTCCTCTTTGAGTACACCATTAAGGAATGCAGATTTTACATCTAACTGGAATAGTTGCCATTCTTTCTGAGCTGCAAGTGCAATCAAAGTCCTTATGGTGTCAAGCCTAGCAACTGGTGCAAATGTCTCATTAAAGTCAATGCCTGGCTTCTGTGAATAACCTTTTGCAACCAGTCTAGCTTTGTTTTTCTGAATGCTTCCATCAAGGTTCAGTTTTGTTTTGTATACCCACTTCACACCTATCACAGGTTTGCTAGATGGTCTATCTACCAGCATCCATGTATTATTCTTCTCAATCATGTCTAGCTCAGCTTGCATAGCTTTCATCCAAGACAAATCTAGGGCAGCCTCTTCATAATTCTCGAGTTCCATAATGCATACATTACACTGTGCAATGACTTCATTTAAGGATCTCCATTTCTTTGGAGTAGAATCATAGCTCTGTGACAGATCAATGTTTGAGCTTGGATCATCAGCATTAGTATTCAAATCATCTAGTGAAGTATCAGAAATAACCTCAGGGAATACACTGCCATCTTGAACATTTGACCCTTGAGTTAGATCAGATTCTGCCATATCAGTAGTGATCGATACACTGGACTGTTTTCCAGAGCTGTCACCCCAATCCCATCTAGCACTCTCATCAAATACTACATCTCTAGATAATATAATCTTACTAGTGATAGGATCAAATAATATGTATCCTTTCTCACTGGTTCCATAACCCACAAACACACATTTGTGACTGTTGCACTCAAGTTTGTGTCTTAAATTCATGGGAACATGAACATAGCATACTGACCCAAAAATCTTCAAGTGTGCAATTCCAGGTTTTCTTCCACTATAGGATTCAAAAGGAGTCTTTTTATCCAAAGCCTTAGTGGGACATCTAGTTAGGAGATACACTGCAGTGTGCACAGCTTCTGCCCAAAACTGGTATGGCATGCCCTTTTCATGTAACATAGATTTTGCCATCTCCACCACAGTTCTATTCTTTCTTTCTGACACACCATTCTGTTGTGGTGTGTATGACATGGTTAGTTGCCTTTGAATCCCAGAAACATTGCAATAGTCACTGAATTCAGAAGACAAGAACTCACCACCTCTATCACTTCTTAGATACTTGATTTTGTACCCACACTGCAATTCTGTCATTGCTTTGAACCTTTTGAAATACTCCAATGCCTCATATTTGTACCTCATAAAGTAGACCCATGTCATTCTCGTACAATCATCAGTGAACAGAATGAAGTACTTGTTTCCAGCATTTGAGGCAATTTGCATTGGACCACACATATCAGTATGTATCAATTCAAGTGGAAATTTAGCTCTCCAAGCAGATTCTCTTGGAAACTCATCTCTATGTTGCTTGCCAAGCATACACCCTTCACAGACATTCTTGGAATTTTCCAAGTGAGGTAGCCCATGAACCATTTCTTGCTCCCTGAGTTGCAGCAAACTCCTTGTGTTTAAGTGTCCTAACCTCTTGTGCCAAATCTGAATGCAATGAGATACACTAGCTTTTAATGCTAGTGATGTGGCAGGCATCATTATTAAAGGAAAGCATCTGTTGCTAGTCATTTGAACCTTAGCAACCAGTCCATTCAAGTTCCAGCTATCAAAAATACAAACTGCATTACCACCAAATAGCAGATAGTAACCATGTTCCAACATTTGCCCCACACTTAGAAGATTTTCGTCCAAACCAGGCACTAGCATTACTTCTTGTATGTGCTTTCTTCCCATCTTGGTTTCAATGACTAGTGTGCCTATTCCTGCTACACTCACAACTTCACCAGTTCCCATTTTTACTTTTGCATTCAGATTTCTACTCACATTCACCAGCAAGCTTTCATTTCCTGTCATGTGGTTGCTACAACCACTGTCAATATACCAAGTGTTATTGACCTTCACCTGAGACACAGAGTTGCAAGCAAAAAATAATGTTCCCATATCATCAACCTGATTTGCATAGTTAGCCTTCTACACCACTTTGTTCCCATTACAGTTTCTGACTTCATGACCAAATTTATTGCAATTTGTGCATTTAGATTTTCCTTCAAACCAGCACTTTCCATAGTGCAGTTTATCACAATGTTTGCAAGCTGTTTTGTTCGATTCATGAGAATTATTCTGCTTAGAGATAAAATTAGGCTTAGTATCCCACTTTTTCCCTTTGTTCTTCCAACTTTTCCCTGATTTCTGAGTACCAGAGAACCCACTGGGTTTTTGAAACTTAGACCCAACATTTAGACTAGCAAATGCCTTTTCAGTGGAATGATCAGTATGCATATCAAGCCTTTGTTCATAACCCTTCAGAGAAGCAACCACTTCTTGGATTTCAAGTGTTTCAATATCCTTTGAGTGTTCAATCACAGCACAGATAGAGTCATAACTTCTAGGCAAACTTATAAGTAATTTTTGAACAACCCTCTCCCTAGATAGTTCTTCACCATAACTCCTCATTTGATTCATGATGTCAAACAGTTTAGTAAGATATGCAGACAAAGATTCATCATCTCTCATCCTAGTATACTCAAACTCTCTGCGTAAACCTTGTAATTTCACATTTCTAACCTGTTTATCACCTCTGAATTCTTGCTGTAGGATATCCCAAGCTCCTTTGGAGGTTTCTTCATTAGAAATCCTGGGAAAAATCTGATCAGACACAGCTCCTTGAATCAACCCAAGGGCCTTAGCATCCTTCATTATGATCTCCGCAACGTTTGTTGACATTTGAGTAGCTGCATCCTTCTCCTTCTTTTCATCAGCTATCTCAACCACAGTCGATGACTCTGGGATTGTAAACCCAGTCTCTACAAGATCCCAAAGTCCATGAGACCTGAGAATGGTTCGCATTCTGATATTCCAGAATTCATAGTTCTCCCCATTGAAAATGGGAGTACGAAGTTCAGAACTCATTGATCCAGCCATGTTAGACACAGATCTTCGATTTGAAGATTTAAGAAACTCGATTCTTCAGCGATTCACTGAAGAACCCAGAAAACACAGATTCACGCCCAGATTAAAACGATGAACCTGGCTCTGAGGCCATGTTAGAGTTCTATGGAATTGCATAGTACAGAATCAAGAAGAAATCAATAAGATTTTGATTTCTATCAAGAACACAAACGAAAAATGGAGATGCCAGGAAGATGAAGAGCTCTGTGTTTTTCTGATTTCATTCAGCTATGACTGAAATGATTAATTAGCTACAAACATAGAGTGGGGAAGATATAGCCGTTTGAAGGCGCACTACCACACCCATTACACAAACTCACGTGTATTTCACATGCTCACATATGAGTGAGATGTTATACCATGAGACACACATATATTTAGCCTATTAGCTTTGATTTAATCTCAGCCTTACATTTCAAAACTAAGAGCAAAAGAGACATTGAATTACAATGAAACAGAACACAACAAAATACAAGGCAGCTGCAAGGCTTAAACATCAACATATACATACTTTAATCATTTTTTTGGCAACATGGTTCATTTGGCTAAAATTCTGTGATCAGTTTTCTTCCCTAAAAAATTTCCAGTAAGTTTAATTCTATTTGGATATGTATTAATTCTTTGTTCAACACAGATACCTTTTGGTTTGTTGGTGAGGTATTTTGAGTGCTTATCAGTTATTTACTAAAGGTGGTTTTATAGGAACTACTTCAACTCTTGGAACACCTGTCCCAAAAGAAAATGGAGAGGCTGTAGCACTGTGTATGCAGTTAAATGACAATGTTGTATTTCATATGCACGAAATGATTTATTAAGTGAGTTGTATCTACTATATATGCAAAACAGATTGCTAGCTAATCTTATTGTTATTAACTCTTCCCTTTACTTTTCGATTTCTGTTATGATGTGCAGGGTATTGAATTTGGAAGAAAGCTTGCATGAAAACTCTTTTTGTGTAATGTTCATGAGTGAGTCCTTCGAAGTTTGCCTTGAAGTGTCTTTATATTCTCATTCACTTTGTTTTATTGCTAGGAAATTCTAAGTAGAAAGAAGTTCAAAGAAAAATCTCAAGCAAAATTACATTTGATCTACAAGTGGTTGAACTGACATATTTCTTAAACAATGAAGGCGTGAAATATAAGTGGACAATTACAGTTTTTGTTTTCATGTCAAACCAACTTGCGTCACATATATTATGCCATTGTTGACATATTTTCTTCCGTTGTTTTCAACCATGCTTTTATGTTACACCAGGAAAAATCTATTAGAATTGGGAACCACCTATATCGGTTCTTGGATGATGATCCAACTGTATCTCATTCATGGTTCAGACAGTTATTCAGAATAGGAAGGGATAACTGAGTTGAGTTCATGGATTAGAGTAGGTCGAGTAAATTATGCTTTGGCAGATGCTTTCTTTGACTTAATGTCAATTAATTGACGTTTATCATAGGCTCAATGTGCATGTGCAGATGCTTTTTATTTTTTCAATTGATGCTTTAGCAGTTTCTATTATCTACTTTTTGGGGTATAAATCGTATCTATCATTTCAAAATACATGTTCTTCATGACAATCTATGGTATTTATAAAATAATTCATGTTAGAGTAATTTTTTTTCCTTTCCCTTCACTGCAGTCTCGGCAAAAAGCACTCGCAGACTTGCAGCAAATGCACTGTGTACGTAAGTAAAACATTTTACTATCATGTCTTTCTTGGTTAGTGATTATGGTATAGGTGATTGATGTGAATGTTAATTGTGTGGTTTGTGTTCCTGGGTTTATGCTTAGTGCCGTGTATTTTCTATATGTACAATTTTCTCTTTCAGTTTCTATTGTTTTTCGTTTTTTTTGAGTTATGTATACTATCGATGTTCTTATTGTAGCTTGAGAAGCTGAGCGATATGCAGTGCCAACCTGAGTCACAGCTGAAGTTCATTACAGAGGCCTGGCAACAGGTACACCACAAATTACCGTACTTTTCTACTAAGACTCTATTGTTTTTTCTTATTAAATTTTCTTTATTTTCAAATATTTGAATGTAGATGAGTACTAAAATTGACATATGCTGATGGATATTATTTGCTAGAACATGAACATGCCAAGTTGTTTGAGTACTTGCAAGGTATGTCATTTTCTCAAGCCCGAAGAGTAATTTCTGTTTCTGCAGGTGAAGCTGAGTCTGGGTTAGAACGGCTTCATCAATGTCCAGAAGATGAACTACAAGATTTCGCACAAAAGATTTCAATGAGTTTCGCACAAAACTTGTTGGATTGACCAGGTTACGTTCCACTAAAGATATTACACTACTTTTCTAATTGGATAAATTGACTCAGGTTACAATGATATAGCTTTTCAGTTTATTAATACTAACATATTAGTTTTGCTAAGTGTGAATGCCATAAGTGAAGTTTTATGGAAATGATGAATGGGCCAATCTAAAATACCAAATTTCAGCTGATGAATGAACTCTTATATGACTGCTACTGCATATACTCATCTTTTATTTTGTTGGGTTTTATTTTTATTTCATTTTTTGTGGTGAACTGCAATGTTGGTTTCGCAAAGAACTGAACTTTAGCTTATCTATAGGTCTATACGAATGTAGTTTTTCTCTTTTTTTTGTCTCAAGTATTTGGTTGGTTTTATTTAACAATCTTTTGGAATATAGAGAATCTTTGCACCACCATCTTATTCCTGCATTTTCTGAAAATTTGGCATTGAGATGTTAGGCAAAGGTGTCTCATGGGAACCACAGATTGCTCAAAACTATCTCAAAGAAGTGGAGATTTGTTATGTAGCTTAGAGTATGCCAACTATGAAGCTAAGAAAAATGGTGCGGAAATTAGCTGTTTGTTATTGACGAGGTATAATCCAATAGCTTATAAGTATGCTCCTATATTTGACACTTCAAATATGTCTAGAACCGATGTTACTATTACTACTTTCATTTTTACAGAAGGAAGGGTTTTTCATTCTTCATTTCTTGCTATATTACCTTGGGTTGTGCAAACTATTCTTTATAGGAGACCCCTTCAAATATATTAGTTAATTCTTGCTAATATTTGTGCAAACTGTTTTTGTTATGTTGAAGTTGAAACCTTTTTTAAGGGTTGTAAATAGATTTCACATGTATGTAAATAATATATGTACACATTATAACTTTCTACATATTTTATATGATTTTAAAACCTACAGCATTGCGCGGACACTTTTGCTAGTATTCTACTAACTGTCAAAATTAATTTTGGATTGGATGCTCTATTTCTATCGCATGCCATCATAATGTTTTTTGTTTAAGAAATTAAATACTTCCTAATAGCTTGTAGGAATCACCTTCTGACCTTTTTTTAACTAGACTAATGCTAGGTAAATTAAATTTGTAAGAATTTTTTAGTGCTAATAACAATTCCCTAAACTAAATTATGTGTAATCAATAAAATATAAGCGCGTTAATCAACACTTAAGTAATAGTCAACTTATCAACTTCCATGTGATTTAATTTACACATTTAGACCTAGTTTGGGAGTGAGGTGATTAAAAAAAAGCACCTATGAAAAAAAGCTGTGAGGGTTTTAGGTGTTTGGTAAACTGAAAAAAAAAAAGAGCTTATTTTGGAAGCTGCTGTGAGAATAAGCTGAAATCAAAGGAAAAAGCTGAAGCTGCTATTTGTAGCTTTGGAAAACTGGCTTTTTTTTCAAAGCACATGGAGCTACAGTGCTCCTTTAATGAAAGAACCCACTATCAGACTACTTTTTTTTCCAAAAGCTTTTTTACAAAAAAGTTTACCAAACGCTCTGCTGATTTATTTCACAGCCGCTTATTCTCACAGCACAGCCGCTTATTCTCACAGCTTTTTTTCAAAGCACAGCAATACCAAACCAGCCCTTAGTCTTCTTAGTATTGCCCACTAACTAATCCTTCTTAAGCAACACCCAAGAGACCAGGGAAACTCTTTACTTAATTACATTGAGTCTCTCTTGTGCCTCTTCATATATTTTTTCTTTTGAACAAATGATATTATCTACATTAAGGGGGAGGGAGTGGGTTTCGCCTCACAATGTGTTAGCAATAATATGGTTCAAATTTGCCTTTGGTGAGAATCAAACCTGAACCTTCTTACTTATAAGTAAATAATAATACCTTTAGATTGTAGTAGTAAGTCGCTTGTGCCTTTCTATTTTTATATTTCCCTGCTGAAGGAATTTTAAGAGTTTCCCATAATTTATTTAGTATAAGCACATAAAAAAAGCATACGAGTAGAGCATAAGTTGGAGGTCATATGATCCAACAAGGCAACAGACCAGAGCAATTTAACCCAAAGTACCCAAAACCCAGAGCAATTTCGGTTTAATGTTTGGTTCGGTATTTTTCGATTTTCAGTTTTTCAAATCCATCCCTAACACTGTTAAGGTGTTGGTTAAATGAGGAACAGGTGTGAACGAATGCTTCAAGTAACAGGCTGGGCAGAGAAAAAGTGGGCACAGTAGGGTGGTTTGGGAGTCAGGTGCCTAAAAAGAAAGCACCCATGAAAAAAAGCTGTGAGGGTTTTAGGTGTTTGGTAAACTAAAAAAAAAAGACTTATTTTGGAAGCTGCTGTGAGAATAAGCTGAAATCAAGGGAAAAACCTGAAGCTGCTATTTGTAGCTTTGAAAAACTGGTTTTTTTTCAAAGCACACGGAGCTACAGTGCTCATTTAATGAAAAAACTCACTATATGACTGCCTTTTTTTTTCAAAAGCACTTTTACAAAAAAGTTTACCAAACACTCTGCTGATTTATTTCACAGCCGCTTATTCTCACAGTACAACCGTTTATTCTCACATCAGTTTTTTTTCAAAGCACAGCAATACCAAACCAGCCTTAGAGCTGGACTCGAAAAGCTACCCTTTTTCCAATAACAATGGGGAACGATCAGGTGACACTATTATTAAAAGGGTAGAATGAGGAGCAGATTAGTCAAAAAGTGAAAAGTTAGGGAGTTGAGGATTAGCTATTGGGATTGGGATGCACACTTCTAGTTAGAACAAAGGTTTGTTGCAGTGGCTCAAGGGCAAGTAGACCAACTCTCATCTTTTAACATTATTGAACGTCACACGTTGTTTTATATACGTTTGTGGTGTTTGTTCTTGAGTTTCTCTCTTCCGTTACTTGATAAAACTCATGAGTTTATACTCCTGCTGATACAACAGATTTCCTCCCACTTTACGGTGGATCTCAATTGTACAATTTATAATTCATTGATATGTCATCTGTCATATTAAACTTGTGCCCTGCAGTCCTCATGGACTATCTTAGGAGTGGTTTGGGAGTAAGGTGCTTAAAAAACACTCATGAAAAAAAACTGTGAGGGTTTTAGGTGTTTGGTAAACTGAAAAAAAAAAAAAGCTTATTTTGGAAGCTGCTGTGAGAATAAGCTGAAATCAAATGAAAAAGCTAAAGCTGTTATTTGTAGCTTTGGAAAACTGATTTTTTTTCAAAGCACACGGAGCTATAGTGCTCCTTTAATGAAAAGACCCACTATCAGATTGTTTTTTTTTTTTCCAAAAGCACTTTTACAAAAAAATTTACCAAACACTCTCATGATTTATTTCACGGCCGCTTATTCTCACAGCAACTTTTTTTTCAAAGCACAGCAATACCAAACCAGCCCTTAATATAACCATAAAAGGTTATGTACCGTGCATAAATTGTGCAACAAGCTTTTATTCAAGGCACCAGACAAACAAGAAAGGGTTAAGAAAGAGAAAAAATAAATGAAATCCCAATAAGATTAAAATAATTGAACGAAACATCGGACATAATTAAACAAGAATATGAAAAAGGAGTGAAGGAGTGTGTAGTTATAATTTATTAAATGACACTATGATGCAACTCTTACCAATAATCATTGTTCTAAAAATTTCAGCCTAACATCTAGGCCTCGCCTAGTTGCTAGATGGCTGGTCACCACCTCGATTAATGCCTAAGTGTTTAAAAATTAATAAAAGGGACCTAGATCTGCTGAGGCGCTCGCCTCAGCACCCGCCGAGTTCACAACTCACTTTAGACAAAAAATATATAAATTTCATTTTGCATTTTATATTTTTCAATAAATTATAAGAGACTTGTTGCATACTTAAATGAACACACATTATATCCTTGTTCCTCATGTTTTCATCATGTTTCAATACTTCATAATTTATATGTCATTCTATTTTGTAGTTTATGATGAAATTATATATATTTTAAGTATAAGCAAACACTTATTTACACGAAATATAATAAATTTACTTAAATCCTCTTGGGCCCTGCCTAGACGCCTAGGCGCTAGGCTCTAGCCTGCTACCTAACTAACGTCTAGCGTATTTTAGAACCTTACCAATAACATGGTACTACTGTCACTTGGTACTATGTTCTAGTAGTAGTCATCTTCACCTATAAGTGAAAGGTCTTAGGTTTGATTATCGCCAAATGAGAATTTGAACCACATTATTGTTAGCCCATTGTTGTCAATATGTATGCAGATATATCAGAGAGAGAATTATCAAGAACTTAGAGAGAGAAAGTAAGCAGAGAGAGAGAGATGAATATCTTGTGTTATATCTTTCTTACTCATGAAGTCATTACATTTAGACTTATATAGAAGCTCAAATACATGTAACAAACTAACTAACTAAAGCACAATCTATTGACAAGTGTCACAATCCCACACACTAATATATATATCCTAACATCCCCCCTTAATCTCAGGTTTGGATGAACCAAGCATGAGATTGGTACAATGAGACCGAAACAAAGGAGAACTAAGTCCTTTTGTTAGAATATCCGCAAACTGCTCCCTGGAAGATACAAACTGAACCATGAGACGATGTTTGGCAACCCTTTCACGCACAAAGTGAACATCTATCTCAATGTGTTTCGTACGCTGATGTTAAACCGGATTGAAGGACAAGGCTATGGCGGACAAATTATCACAAAAGAGAACTGGAGCTGTTGGAAGTTGGATGTGCAGAAACTGAAGAAGCTGCTGGATCCAATCAAGTTCAGCGGAAGTGGAAGAAATAGCCCGATATTCCGCCTCTGTAGAGGATCGTGACACGGTATTCTGCTTCTTAGATGACCAGGAAATGGGATTGCCACCTAAGAACACAATTAAGCCCGTTGTAGATCTTCGATCATTAGGGTCGCCAGCCCAGTCTACATCACTAAAAGCTTTTAACTGTAAGTCACTAGCAGAATATGATATACCAAAGGTCATAGTACCCTTTAAGTATCGCAATATTCTTTTGACTGCAGTATAGTGAGAAATCATAAGAGCCTGCATAAACTAACACACTTGATGAACAGAAAAAGCAATGTTCGGCCTGGTGAAAGTAAGATACTGCAATGCACCTACGATACTTCGATAAGCTGCAGGATTGTTGAAAGGAGAACCATCATCCTTGAGTAAGCGATTGTAAGGCAAGCAAGGTGTATCACACGGCTTGCAATCAACCATTTCTGCTTTCTGTAATAACTCTTGTATATACTTGGCCTGAGACAAGAAAACCTGTACCAATTCGATCAATTTGGATGCCAAGGAAGTAGTGCAAATTTCCCAGATCTTTAATATCAAATTCAACTGTAAAAAGTCAATGACTTGTTGAATGATAGAAGAAGCACTGCCAGTGACAATTATGTCATCAACATAGAGTAGTAGAATGACAATCTTAGTACCAATGTGCTTAACAAACAGAGAAGAATCAGCATAAGTGGAAGCAAAACCAAGAGAAGGCAGAAAATTGGTAAACCTTTCATTCCATGCCCTTGGGGCCTGTTTCAAACCATATAAAGATTTGTGCAGCTTACATACAAACTCAGGATGAGTTGGATCTTCAAACCCCGGAGGCTGAGCCATATATACCTCTTCGTGCAACAAGCCATGTAAGAAGGCATTTTTAACATCGAGCTGCCTTAATGACCAATTAAAATGGGCAACCAAAGCTAGTATTAATCGAATAGTAGTAGGTTTGATGACAGGGCTAAAAGTTTCCCCATAATCCAGACCAGGTTCTTGACTAAAGCCCTTGGCTACCAGCCGAGCTTTATGCCGAGAAATAGAACCATCAGAGT